TTGAAATTTTTTTTTTTGAGGGAGAACATTCATACCATTCTAAGTCTTATCCATTCATATTCCCAAAGAGAAGGAGAGTTCATTTCTTCCTTGCCCCTACACATTTATTGAATGTAACAATTTGATGATGACCATTGTGATTTCTTGGAGGTTATTTCTTGATATAGTTTGATTTGCCTCTCTCTCGTAATTAGTGATGTTGAGCATCCAGTCTTATCCTTTTTTTTTTAAACATTGTAATATTTACCTCCTTTAATTCATTTCTTGAAAGCTTTTTTGAATTTTTTCAATTACTTTCCCCAAGGCTAATTTTTGTGAACAGGTTTCATTTATATCCCTTATGACTTGTTAATATTAACAGCCCCTAAGCACTTGTTGCATTCTCAGGTTGCTCAGTGGGAAACAATTTGCCCACCAGTGCTGGAGTCGTGTATTCAATCCCTGGGTCAGGAAGTTCCTCTAGGAGGAGATGGCAACCCACTGCAGTATTCTTGCCTGGGAAATCCCATGGAAAGAGGAGCCTGGCGGGCTACGGTCCATGGGGTCACAAAGGATTTGGATATAACTTAGAGACTAAGAACAAAAACAAACCACAGGCTTTATATTGTTTTTACTGGAACTAGCCACGAGGTGGCAGTAGTTCTTCTTGTAGGACTCTGGTTTGTTCTTCGATCAGAACTTTGATGAATGTCTTTGTCCTGGCCTGTGAATTAGAGTGGAATGTACCAGAGCAAACAGTCAAGGGTTTGTGTATTACTTCTTCCGCCTTAAGCTTCGCCCCTTCCCCCCCCACCTAGGGCAAATGTCCACCCTTGCATAAACCTCTATGGTGAGTGTCCTGTGGTTCATCAGTGGTGTGACTATGAGGAAGAAGGCTACCCTCAGTTCAGTTCAGTTGCCAGTCGTGTCCGACTCTTCGAGACCCGATGGACTGCAGCACGCCAGGCCTCCCTGTCCGTCATCAACTCCCAGAGTTTACCCAAACCCATGTCCATTGAGTTGATGATGCCATCCAACCATCTCATCCTCTATCATCCCCTTCTCCTCCTGCCTTCAATCTTTCCCAGCATCAGGGTCTTTTCAGATGAGTCAGCTCTTCGCATCAGGTGGCCAAAGTTTTGGAGTTTCAGCTTCAACATCAGTCCTTCCAATGAACACTCAGGACTGATCTCCTTTAGGATGGACTGGTTGGATCTCCTTGCAGTCCAACCACTAAGGCTACCCTACCACTAGGATATGTGGAGACCAGTTGACTTTTCGAAGCTCTTGCATCTTTCATGTCCACCATCATTTGGGTGCAGTAGGTCTGGTTATACTGATGCAGCGCCTGCCTGGGTCAGGAGAGTTTGGTCTTCACCAGCGTGGATGAGGTATTAGAGGCCCAAATGGGGTCATTTGCCAGACTATCCTGTCTTACCCCCCTCAGCCCCACTGTAGTACAGCCTTGGGATCCAAGGCTCCTCAGATTTAGGGATGTCAAAGCAGTCAGGGTCACCAAGGCCCACGGTGAATATAATGAGCACACTCCCCCCCCCCTTTATTTTAATCCATTCATCCATTCCTGGATACTCTAGGTTGTTACCATATCTTGCCTCTTGTAAGAGATGCTGCAATAGCTAAGGGGATGCAGATACCTTTTTCAGTTAGTCTTTTCTTCAGATAAAACCTAGAAGCACAATTAGTGAACCCGATTGCAGCTCTGTTTTTAATTTTTTGAGGCACTCCGTACTGTTTTCCACAGTGGCTGCATCATTCCCAGTTCCCATCTTCACCAACACATTTCTCTGTGATACAGCCACTCAGTTACAAGGTGATGTCTCACTGCCACCTTGTTTTGCATTTGAAGATTCACAGATTTTCCTGACCACACTATATGTGCTTGGGTTGGATCCTCGTCTCATTTCAAGCTTATGCTCATGCAGTAATATTCCAGACGGTTCCACATACGGCACGTTTCTCAAATACGCCTTTTCTCTCTAGATCTCAGGAACTTTATGTACTAGGTATATGTGCTCAGTTGCGTGTGACTCTTTGGGACCCCACTGATTGTAGCCCACCAGGCTCCTCTGTCCGTGGGATTTCCCAGGCAAGCATACTGGAGTGGGTTGCCATTTCCTCCTCCAGGGGATCTTCCCAACCCAGGGATTGAACCCACATCTCCTGCATTGCCTGGCGGATTCTTTACCACTGAATCACCTGGGAAGCCCCAGAACTTTTATTGTTTCTAATTAATTTATTAATAGAACTGCAGCTGTTTGGTCTGCAGGAGGCATTAAAGACCCCTGGATGCCTCATATAGCGCGCACCTTGGCCAAAGCCTAAAGGGCTACAAGGTTCAGTTTTCCGATCTGTGCAATGGAGTGGAAAGCAAGGGGTGGGGTTTAACTTCACCTACCGCCCCCCCCCCACCCCAGCCCCTGAACTTCCAGTAGTTACGTAAAGTTGGTCCGTAAAGAAGGCTGAGTGCCAAGCAATTGACGTTTTCCAATTGTGATCCTGGAGGAGACTCTTGACTTGGCTACGTGATGCGAAGAGCTGACTCACTAAAAAGACCCTGATGCTGGGAAAGACTGAAGGTGGGAGGAGAAGAGGATGAGCGCGTTGGATGGCATCACCACTCGGTGGACATGAGTTTGAGCAAACTCCGAGAGAGACGATAGGGAAGCCTGGCGTGCTGCAGTCCGTGGGGTCGCAAGGCGTCAGACACTACTTAGCCGTTGAACAACAACCCCAACTTCCGGGGTTGGGAAAAACGTAAAATCAAGGAGCGTCACCCGGCCGCTCGTTCCGGCGCCTGCGCAGAGGCCGCCGCTGCGCTGTTTTGGGGAATTTTTTTCCGGCCTCTCGACGACTCGGCGCTCCTGGGTCTTTTCTCCTCCGGTGTTTTGGTTTCGGTGCCGCCGCAGGCGTGCCTGCCGAGCGCCGAGCTGTTGATGGAGATGGCGGCCGCGCCCGAATGAAGGCTCGTGGAGGCCCAGAGCCCGCCTCTGAGGACTGGACAGGCCTGCGCGCCCGCAGAGAGGGCCAGGCGAGTCTCCGGGTCGGGGCGCCGTCCCGCCTCGGCGAGCAGACAGGCGGGTGGTGGCCCTGTGTTGTGGCGGGTGTGACTTGGGTGGTGGGCGCCGGGCCTCTCCTGCCGCGCGTCCCGCCCGAGTGTCCGCGGTGCTTTTACTCCGGCCGTGGCTGCGCAGGGGCGCCTTAGCGGTCTTGGGTTCTGCGGCGGGGGGCTGCGTGGTCCTAGGGGGTAGAGAGCGGCCGGCGGCTCTCGCGCTGGACGAGGAGTTGCGGGAACCGTGGGCCGTATTTGGATTTCGGACAGGATTTCGGGTATGAGGGGCTCGCTTGTGTTGTGGACGTGGGGCCCAGCTAGATGGTTTGTGGTGGGTGTTTGGTTATGTGATCTTAGATTTCGTTCATTCATTCATTCCCTCCCGGGGCGTTATGAGGATCGTCGGAGTTTCGTGCCGGGTACTGACCCAGCGGGTGTGGTGGTAAGAACGTGGACGTGGCCTCTGCCCTCACACAGCTCACAGGCTGTGGGTTTTAGTCGCTTTGTGTACCTGTGATTACAAGTTGAGGTTAGTGCTGTGACGAGAGGTGCAGGGCTACGGGACGGGAGAACACCGTGAGCAGCGCTTTTCCGAGGCCCTGAGGGTGCCTTGAGATGCCTTCGGGAGTGTTTTGGATTTGCGGCTGGTTGGGTGAGTGGGAAGAGAAGAGGCTCACGTGAGCCTCTGGCTAGGAACTGCTTGTTCTTTCAGCGGCTGTCTGGAAAAGGGGCTGAGAAGTGAGTGTGTGTAATCATCGGGCTTTTTCAGTGGAGGAAGAAAACAGGAACCTCGTGTTTCATTTGTTTATTTCCTGGGTCACCGACCCGTTTCGCTTTGATGACTGGGCAGTCCCTCTTCAGTGGCCCTGTAATTGGGTCCATCCGCAGCTCAAAGCTGAGGTTCATACGTTCCTCCTCACTCTCCACCCTCGTTTGTGGCCTCAGATTCTTGAGAAATTTCTCTGCTTTGTTGGAATGGTTTTACCTACGTTTTCCCTATGGCTGGGAGTCTTTCCAAGTTGACATTGAAAGTGACTTTGTCCAGGCTGGATAAAACTGAAAATGTAACTTATTAAACTCTGAATTGTTTAAGCACCGGGTTCTTTTATTTTTGAGGCAGGGAGAACGTTAGGCTTGCTGGTTTATAAAGTCTCGTACGTTTATTGGAGAACAAGTATTGTACAAACCTAAGGCACGAAATATATTTTTCTTGTTTTGATAAGTATTTGTGTTATTTTCAGTTCGAGGCTATCAAAGTAGATTTTTCTTTTTGATCGCTCAAGTTTCTAATGCTGTTCCTTAGACTGAAGTTGGAATTTCTGTTTGGTTTCTAGGATAGATGCTATCCCTTTTACATCAGTGCATTTCTGACACAGATGCAAAAACTCCATATATGTAGTTGAATAAAATGGTCAAGGGAGAGAGAGTCAAGTAAAAACTTGCACTTGTTGAGAACTACTTCAGACATGGTATACACATTATGAAGTTGGAATAAATGTTAGAGAATTGACACTTTTGATGTTGTAGTTTTCTTTCTTATCTGCAGGAGTCTGTGCTTCCCCCTTCATTGAGTTGCTGTTGCCCAGTGATGGTCTCTCATCTTAGAAAGTTTAGGTTTCCATCTAAGGATTTGAGAAAGCAGTTTGTATTCTCAGACTTGCACTGGAAAACATTAAGTACCCATCTTGAATTGTGAAAAGAACAAGGAAAGTTCTCAGTTGCTGCTAATTTGCCTGAATTTGCTCCCCCCTCCCTTTCTTTTTTCCTTTCTTAGGACTTCTACTCCAGAGAGGACACCTCATCCAGGACTATGATGCCACTTCCCCATCGTCTGGGTGTTGCTTGATCCCTTGTCTAAGCTAATGCTGCAGGATCCCTTGTCTCTTGTGGAGGAATCCAGCTGACTCTTGGCATGAGGGCCCTGCGTTGTAGGGGTTGAGAGAGACACCCCATGGCTTCTCTGGATGACCCAGGAGAAGTGAGAGAGGGCTTCCTCTGCCCTTTGTGCCTGAAGGACCTGCAGTCTTTCTATCAGCTGCACTCACATTATGAGGAAGAGCACTCCGGGGAAGACCGTGATGTCAAAGGGCAAATTAAAAGTAAGAGGCTAGGATTTCCTGCTTATCCTGTTCTGTCACTGGGAGCTTTAACTTGTGGGATGGTTTTTATCAGCTCATATGGTTGCCACTGTCAACTAAAAAAAGATGTACAACTTGAGAGTTGTGAGTTAAGTTTTATTTGGGGCAAAATGAGGACTGTGGCCCAGGAGGCAGCATCTCAGACAGCTCTGAGAGACTGCTCCACAGCAGGAGTGGGGAAGGTCAATATATAAGGTTTTGGTGAAGGGGGAATTCAATACCATGAAGCACTCAATTTACAAAAGGTTTTTTGTTAGTCATGAGGGTCTGATGTCACCATGAAGGGATTTAGAGCTTCTGTAGATATGAGATGCAAGGATTGAGATAATAAAACCTGTTCCTAAAAACATCCAACTGTCTAATGACCTGTCCCACCAAATTCCCTAGAGCACAGAGTACGTCACTCCACCCTGAACTCCCTCAGGGAGTGTTGAATGTCAACACCTGGAGCAGTGTGGGGTCAGTCTCCTAGAGGCAAATGGCAAATGCCTTTGTTGCTCAGTTGTTGGCAGTGCTCTTGGTAAGTGCCAATTTGTAGTTGACACCACCATCACAGGATAAATAATGGTAAATTAATAATAATAATAATAGAGAACATGTTTCTAGTGTTTTCCTTGTAGCAGGCATTATTAAAAACATTCCCCTGCATTAATTTCATTGAATTCTCACCATAACTGTGTTGTCAATGAGCCCCATCTTACTGATGAGAGTTCTAGGCACACAGAGACAATTTGCCTGCACAGTGAGGCTTCACGCACAATGTGAAGCTACGCAGTGAGGCAGAGCCTGGCTTCGAGCCTAGTGAGTGTACTTACTCTTCTCTGCTGTCTCTTCCTAGCCTGTTTGAATTATCTCACTGCCAGTGCCAGACGGTTTTGGGGTGGAATTCCTCTCCTTTGTCCTGTAAGCGGAGGCACATTGCACACCGTTTACCTGTCACAGGTTCAGGCCTCCCTGCCATCCTTCCTTCACTGTGCCCTGTCCTGTGGAGCGCAGGAAAAGGAAGCTGTGGCTGAAATGTGAGGAGGAAAACCCACAAAGCTGAAACTTGGGGAGCTTCCAAGGACCCTCACGTCCTAAAGGGTTGCAGAAAGAATTTTTGAAGGTAATTTTTGCTCTTCAGAGTATTCGTTTCCTAGACTTCAGACTCTAACCCCTAAGTACGATGCTGGTGCCCTGGAACTCTCTTTCCTAGTGATTCAGTTAACCGCCAGCCACGCTTCTGAAGGCAAGGAAATTAAAAAGGTCTGATGGCATATTCACAGCTCTGTGTTGGGTGGGAGAGAAAGGAGAGATCCGTGTGTTCCTAAGTGGACTTCGGCCTCCACACCTGTCAGTCACACGCCCCCTGTAATCAAAATAATCTCACTCCACGTCTCACTTTTCAGTTCAGAAAAAAAGGTTGTTGAAATTGAAAGCATTACTATTTATAACCCCTGACAAAAAATATGACAGTTAGACATTTTCAAAATCCTGAAGGCTGCGATGGCCGAGGTGGCTTCTGGCTGCAGAAGCTGGAGCAGAGGCATAACTCTTCGGAGACAGAAGAGAGAAAAGAAAAAGAGAGAAATGTATGTTCTTTCACACACATTGTCATTTCATCAGCTCTCCCAACAACCCTGCAGGAAGGTGGTTGATCTCATTTTACAGAGAAGAAGCAAGACTCTGAGATGTGCAGCGACTTCTCCAAGGTCACGTAGGGATTGACAGAGCTAGGCCTTGACCCCGTGTCTTCCATCACCTCTGAACCTAATGCCGCTCTTTGCCCGTGGCATCACAGCTGAGGTGAGGCCCTGTATTCCCACCACAGCAAACACTGCAGCTGGAAAACTAGCAGACAAATGCACTGCTTGTCTCAGTGGCCTTCGGACAGCTGAGGGGCTCCGTGGTGGTCTTCAGTGTCTTGGTGTCTTAGTGTCAGCTGAACTGGGCCGGATACTGGGATTCTGATAAGACTGCTGCTAGTGGCTAGAGAGGTTAGAGAGTGGTGTCCTCACATTGCTGGGACGGCTGCGCTTTTGTTAGGGAAAATGTGTAAGATTATTGATGAAATAATAGATACAGGACATTTTGTTTCCGACTGAAAGGAAGTGAGGATTGATCCTGAATACTGGCTAGAGAGAGACTGGAAGTTACCAGATTTAGTTCCTCTTTTCTGTCTGTCTGTTTCTCTCTGCTTTTCTGTTTCTGCCTCCTTTGAGAGACTGAATTTCTTGTTGGCTTTGGCTGCCAAGGGAAGACGGGCGGAATGAATCAGACGCCTAGATTTTAGTCCCCTCTCCTTTCATCTGGCTCATAATCACAAAACATTTGTAAGAAGTCAAGACGTGGGCTTTCTTCTCAACTAATGAAAGGGAGAAACGTGGTACTGAGTTGAAGAAATACTTTGGGCTGATCAGATACTGGAAACCACGTCTCCATGTGCAGTTCCTTGCTCCTACCTCCTGCTTCCTTTACTTGACTTGTGGACGCTTGGAAAACCCGGGACTGGAAAGAACTCTCAAAGATGATGCCAGCTAAGGGGCCAGGCTGCGAGCACTAAGGCCTGCTTTTATTCGGAAGGGCGTTTCTCATTTTCCGTTTAGCGTTGGTCACACTGGAAGCCTGCAAGAGGGACCTTGTTTGGTTGGCTCAAGCTTTGGTTCTAACTCCAACATAACCTCTTAAAAGTAGCCTCACCATCGCTTCAAGTAGCCTCACCGTCGCTTCAAGGGCAGGTTACGGGCTGTTTTCTCTCCTAACTCCCAGTATCTGACATCAGAGGAACACTGTACACAGCCCATGGTCCTGGTGCCTTCACTAAGCTTACTTTATTTATTTTTTAGATTATTTTATTTATTTATTTTTGATCTTTTGGGGACTGTTTTTCCTTCTTGTTTTTAATTTTTATTGCAGTACAGTTGCTTTACCATGTTGTGTTAGTTTCTACCAAACAGCAAAGTGAATCAGCTCTACATAGGCATCCCTCCCCCTCTTTTTGAATTTTCTTCCTGTTTAGGTCACCACAAAGCATTGAGTAGAGTTCTCTGTGCTACACAGTGGGTTCTAGGCTTGCTTTGTAGCTGCCTTCTGCCCCAAAGCCATACAAACCTTTCAGGAAGGAGTCATTGCCTGGTCCATCTTGAATTGAGGACATGTGCCTTGTCTGAAATGCATTTTTTTTTTTTAACAAAGTGTTTTCGGGATACAAGGGCTGTCAGTTGAATTTAACTTCCCTGATTCTCTCTGTTCCTCTTAAGATCAGCCTCTTATTTGGGAAACTTGAAATCTGGAAGCCACTCTGGTGTTCATAAAGACTCTGATTCTATTTGTGTTACTGGAATCTGGGAGGCAAGACCCAAGGCTAGGGAGTGACTTACTGGGGGTAGATGATGCTCTCCATAGTGTCCTTACTCCTGCTGGCTAGCTCTCCCTCTCCATCTTTCGAGCTCTTTACTGGGCATTTTCGTCCTCACAGAAGCACGTGGTTCCTCGAGGGTCCTTACTTGGCCTCCAACTATTACCGTCCTTGAAGTTCTTGAATTTTATCTGAAGTCTGTTTTGCAGCCCTAAGATTTTAGACTGGAGTTAATCGTAACAGTACTGCTGAAATCACAATCTGCAGCTTTCTTACGGGACCCGAGACCCAGGAGTTCCTCTCTGTACTACACGTCCAGCATGTGCAGATCTTTCACAGTGTACATGTCCAGATCTTTGAATCCAAGAGTCTTTACCTCAGAACCGATTTTCTGGTAGGGCTTGCTAATGTTCCTCAGCCTGCCGTTGAGTCTCCCCTTAACTTCATAATTGGTTTAAATCAGTGATTTTTTAAGCAACAAGATTCCTATAATGACATGGGCTGGAGGATGGAATTGGAGCAGTAAATGGGATCGGGACACTGGTCCTAGAAGTTTGCCTCCTTTCCTCATACTGCTTCTGTCCTTGGGGAATGAAGGAACCCTGATACAGGAGAATCCACGAAATGCACTGGGACCCTGTTGGTAGGTGGAGCCTGGGTGCTCTTCTGTAGCACCTCGACACTCCACTGGGTATTCTTCATGGGTTCTTATGGCGTCTGTTCCATTTTGTAAGGTCTTGTCCAGAAGGCTAGGAAAGCAAAGAACAGGCTGTTGAAACGGGAAGGAGATGATCGAGCTGAATCAGGCACCCACGGATATGAGTCTTTCAGCTATGGAGGGGTCGATCCTTACATGTGGGAACCCCAGGAGCTTGGTAAGAAATGCTTTTCATTCATTCATTATTGAGCATCTGTATGTTTTCAGAGTTTGCTGAGAGACACCAGTAAACCAGCATGGTCTTAAGCTTCCCATGGCCTTTGTGTCCTAGTGGGGGGAGATAACTGACAAGCATGCGCTGGGCATTCGAACACAAAGCATTACGGCATTAGGCACCACATAAATCTTACATGTGGACTCTCATTTGTTTGTTTGTTTATTTATTTTTTTGACTCTCATTTAATTGTTACTGAGCCTCATGGGGACCTGCCCAGGGTCAGACAGCTGGGGCGCCGCAGAACTGGAGTAGGGGTCTCTGACTGTCAGTCCAGACGTGGCCCATTGCCTCTTTTCATGCAGACATTGCCTGCCTACTGAAAAGCGCTGGGCCATGCAGCCTAAGTTTCTGAAGTGTGTAATTATGGTATCATCTCCTTGCTTTCCAAATTACCATCTTTTAAGGGTAATGGAAATAATCTAAAATTTATTTTGATGATGGTTGCACAAGCCTGTCAGTAAACTAAAACCCATTGATTTTGTATGCTTCAAATGGTGAATTGTATGTATTTGAATGATAACTCAGTGAAGCTTTTACCAAAAAGATCATGCCACATGGAGCTGAACTAACTTATCTTCCATGTCCTTTAACTGTTGAACGTTAGTGATCATTAATATAATACTGTCCATCCATGTGATGGATAAATAATGATTTTTTTTTTCGTAGTATTTTGTTATACTTCGTTTGCTTTTTGGCTGAGCCATGTGGCATGTGGGATCTTAATTTCCCGACCAGGGATCAAAGCCACAAGCCCTGCATTGGATGCGTGGTGTCTTAACCACCAATTGCTAGGGAAGTCATGTACTGCTTTGTTATACTCTGATACTCATTATCTTGTTCATCTTTCATAAAAGCCATGTGAGGTAGAAAGGGTAGTGATGCTTATTCCATTTAAAGTTAAATAAGATTTAAAAGTCAAAGTCAGTTCCATGACCACACACTAGCCAAATCTTAAGAGCTCAGTCCATGTGTGGCCAGTGGCTAACATATTAGAGATTGGAAATGTTTTTTTCATCATGGCAGGAGAAAATAAAAATAAGACTGTATGCATATAACTATTTGTTACATGTGAAAGACAATTAAAAACATGAAGGAGACATTTTAAGTGTATGAATTCTTACTAGTTTTTTGATAACTTATTTCATGATTGCCAGTGTTAAATTTATCAAGGTGATGTTTCAACTAACTTCCCTGATTTAACAACTGAAGGAAGCACAAATTGCAAAAGGTCAAGTGAATGGCAAATTTTCAGTTAATGCTTATCGACACTCCTAAAAATTTGAAGCTAAATTTTAATTAGATGTTAAAGTATGGCTAGGAAGAAGAGAATAACAGATGGTTAAGAATCTAGTATAAAGATCTAGATACAGTAAAGTACCTACATGAACAAGCCGTCATTGGGAGGAAGAAATGAATTGAGTGCTGGGAGGCCTAGGGGCAGGGCCAGCTTTCAGAAGCAGTGCGAGATTGAGCAGGAGCTCTTCAGATGCTCTGAGACAACAGGCTACTTGGTTCCATCTGTATGAGGATTGTCCTAGGTCTTGGCTGTGGACTGAGGACTGAGGATGCTATTGGTTGAGCTAGCCCCACAAAGGCATCTCTTACCATTTGCATGTTGGGGGCTATTTAGAGAAAGGTGGTGTTCCTCCTGATGAAAAAGCTGTATTGTACCAACTTTGAAAAGTATAGGAAAAATAGCCCATAATGTTATTTCCTTTTTGTTTAACAAAAGTTCACATGCCAGGCAGTGTTCTAAGGATTTTATAAATTTAACTTCTATAATCCGGATAACAGCACTGTGCAGTAACTACGGATATTTTCCTCATTTTATAGCTGAGTACTCCAAGTTAAAGAGACGGTAAGGAACTTGTCCAAGGTCACGCAGTGTGTGGCAGAATTGAGCACAGGCTGGTTCCAGAGTCCAGGCTCTGTCCTTGAGGTCTTTCTTAACATACTTTGCTGCCCCAAGGTGACCATAGTTAACATTTTAGCAAACTTCCTTCCGTTTGCTTTTCTAGTTTTTAAATTTTTATTAAGACTCTAAAATCCTAGATTTTTGGCTTGCTTTTGAAATTCAAGGTAGGGAGGCTCCCTCGGAGAAGTGACAAGTCATTTATATTGCCTCCCCGCTTTCTTCTAGGTGCTATGCGAAGCCACCTTTCTGACTTCAAAAAACACCGAGCTGCCAGAATCGACCACTATGTCGTTGAAGTCAATAAATTAATAATCAGGTTAGAGAAGGTAAATTTTTTTGTTTTAAAACATGTTTTTTTCCTGCAAGTATAAATTCTATGGAGGGAAAAATTACACTTCTGCAGCACGAATCTTGTCTTAAATCTATTGTGTTTGTCTGACGCTGGCAGGAAAACACCCTACGTAGAGTGGTGCTAAGGATGCGGTGCTCGGTTCTAGCCTGCGCTGGTTTTACAGAGGGTAGCAGCCTGGGTTGATGACTGACACATAGCCAGCTTCCCTTTTCCTTCCTGTGAAGCCCACTTGACTGCCTGGCAGCCCTTCTGCCTTCAGATCCTTTCCTCATTTGGGGGTCCCAGGCACTGTCATATGAAGGGGTGGAGTGGGTGATGCCGTGTGATGGCAGACAGGCTGGGAGCCAGGCGCGGGAGGAGCACCCACCAGGAGCAGCATGCGGGGTGGGAACCTCTTGTCCTGCGGTTGGTTTAGGAGCGAGTCTTCAGCACCATGACCGCTGTCTTTTCCATCAGCCCTGGGAATGCTTGTGCATCAGCTGGGTTGTGAGAGAGGCCGACATGGCAGCACCGTGGTTCAGCTCTCTGCCTGCGCTTTGTGGGGCAGGGGTGTTGCGTCCGCTTTCATTGTCCAGGAGGGTTGTGGAGAATCGGGGGCTCCCCCTCGCCTTCGGCGCTTTCATTGTCCAGGAGGGCTGTGGAGAATCGGGGGCTCCCTCTCGCCCTCGGTAGCCATCCCACCGTGTCCTTGCCTGCCCCTGGTTATTGCTTCCGTGGGCAGCCGGCAGTTGAGAGACTGGAATGAGTCATGGGAAGGGGAGTGCCTTCCGGGTGGAAAGCTAGTCCTCTGTCCCCCGTGAAGTTGTTTTTGTGACATCGTGGGGTTGGAGACGACATAAGACTTGCGTGATGCCTGTGTGCTCATTCCCACTTGATGCCTCCGCCTGTAGACAGTGTATCCACCACCAGATTCATTCCTTCTGACCCTTTTTTCTCCTTGTCAGCTGACTGCGTTTGACAGAACAAATACCGAGTCTGCGAAGATCCGAGGTAACTGACTCTCGAACTTTGCTCACGTTCCTTCTGTTCTTTATTTTTCATCCTGACCCGATCTCTTTTTTTTTTAAATGGCCTCCCTTCATGTGTGTTTGGTTTTTGTCTTCTTCTTCCCACAGCAATAGAAAAGTCCGTGGTGCCCTGGGTCAACGACCAGGATGTCCCTTTCTGTCCGGACTGCGGGAATAAGTTCAGCATTCGTAACCGCCGCCACCACTGCCGCCTCTGCGGGTCAATCATGTGCAAGAAGTGCATGGAGCTTATCAGCCTTCCCTTGGCAAGTAGGTGACGTGGAGGCAGCCTGGCCCCTGACCTCCTGCCGAGACCAGCCCCCGGTGGGAGACTGGTCTTTTTGTTTCAATGTATGGCCCATGGGACCTTCTTTCATTTACTGTTGATTCCTTGAGGCTCACTACAGCCTCGGCAGTTTGCTAGGGCCAGGTGGAGCAATGGTCTATAATAGAGGTTGGCCAACTTTTCCCATAAAAGACCAGACAGTGAGTGTTTTAGGCTTTGTGGCTCACATCCTGTCTGTGTGACATTTCTTCTTTATTACACAGCCTTTTTGAAGTGTAAAAACCACAGGTAGCTTGAGGGCCATACAAAACCAGGCCAGACTTGGCCTGCCAGTCGTCGTTTGCCCACGTATGATCTATCAGTATCATCCGTTCCTCCAGGGTAGGAGGAACCCAGTGGCCCAGGACTTTGAATCTCAGCTGGTGAAAAGTTGCTGGAGATGATCTCAAGGCGTTTTGGCTGATTCTGGGATGTGTGGGGTGGTTTTGCAACCCTGCAGAGTTCCGCTGACTCTGCACGTGCTGTTGGCTGCACGGCGTCTGGGTAACGTGGGACAGGGCAGATGTTTCCTGGGTGGGGGCTCTGACGTCCAGTGGGCACGTGTCACCTTGGTAAGTTCCCTGTCTCTGTCTACCCTGTCTACTGCTTGTAGCAGTAGCCCTATTGGAAGAAACCCATAGGGATGCAGCTATGAAAGACAGCTTGTGCCCTTGGAATCACAACTGCTTGGGCAGCTCTGGGCTGTGCGTAGAGCTGTCATCACACGGAGCAAGTGGGAAGTGCCCCAGGAGGAGCGCCGTGGTGGGAACTGATAGGCGGGCAAATGGTGTTTGCCTCAAGGAATTGGGGAAGGCTTCCTGGAGGATATGCCATTTGAGCTGAGCTCTGGCAGGGGTAGCAGTTGGGGTTTGGGCATCGGGGAAGGCTGCGGGGGACGGTCCAGGGAGAGCCTGGGTGTGTCTGGGCGGCTGGAGCAGGGGAGCTGGTAAGGCCAGGTTGGGGTGAGCTTCAGAGCTTCAAGGACAGCCTGTCCTTGGCTCATGCCTCTCTCCTGGAGGCGCTGGGCATCCAGCCTGCTGCAGAGCCTGAGCCCCGGCAGGCAGAGGTATGGGTGCCTCTTGCCCAGAGGCAGCATCTGGCCCCCACCTGTGGACTCCACTGCTGTTGTGGGCAGTGGGGTGATCTAAGCTTTGGGGTTCACTGCTGCCTGTCCTGTGTTCTTTACAGACAAGCTCACCAGTGCCAGCAAGGACTCACTGAGCACTCACACCAGCCCCAGCCAGTCACCCAACAGTGTCCACGGCTCCCGCCGGGGCAGCATCAGCAGCGTGAGCAGCGTGAGCTCTGTCCTGGACGAGAAGGACGACGACCGGATCCGCTGCTGCACACACTGCAAGGACACGCTTCTCAAGAGGGAGCAGCAGATCGACGAGAAGGAGCACACGCCTGACATCGTGAAGCTCTACGAGGTGATTCCTGGGCCGACGCGAGTCCGATTTGAGAGGCCGGGCTGACTGTCGTGTGCACGCCTGCAGACTTTGAAGAATGCTTTGTGAAATCGTTCCTTTCAGTTGTTTTTAGTTCCTGCCAGAGGGCACTAGCTAGGGCCCTGAGTGAGTCGCAGAGTCACTGGGTGTGTTGCCACAAACTTGCTTCCTTGCCCTCGCTGCCCACTTGGGAGTTGGAGGTTGGTGCTTTCAGTGGCCCGGGGCAAGAGGAGGAAGGCTGATTGCCATGCGGTGTAGACAGGTTCTCTGGTCAGAGCAGGAGCAGGAGCTGGTGGTGAAGGGTGGACCAGAGGGTCCTAGGACACTCACTTGGGAGTTTGAGAAACTTCCCAGAAGCGTAGAGCTTCCTCTTTTGAGTCCATTCAAGTGCCTCAGCTCTGGTTACCGCCAGCGGCCCTGCAGGGTCTTCAGTAGGTGCTGCGTTACAGGAGCAGAGTGTGGTCAGAGCCTACGGCTTAGAGCCGGACTGGGCGTGAGCTTGACTGCCTCCCAACCCGGGGGAGGCCTGCAGGCTGAGGAGGATGAGCCAGGAGGGTGTTGGGCAGGGAGGTGGTAGGAAATGGGGAGGAGGAGGGCAGCCTGGCAGCGGAAGGAAGCAGCTTGAGCAAAACCGGACAGGGGAGGAGAGCGTTTCTGTCTGGTCATCACTGAATGGTCACTGTTAGCAGTTCTTCCGGTCCCAGTGGCTGTGTTTCTGGAACCACCATGAAAACAGTCAGACTGCTAGAAATGGTGTTAATTAAAACCTTGCTGCGCTGCAGACATTGCCGTTGACCACTGCTGTGTGGCGCTCACGACCTGACAGTCTCTGTAAACAGCCGCCGAGCTCGCGGCTCCCTTCTTTTCTGAAGGGAGCCCTGGCTGTGCCTTGCGTGGCGTCCGGCGTCACCTGGCAGATGAAGGCCATAGCAGCTATTTCTTCTCGCTACCTTGGTGAGCTCACATGACTTGTGTCCTGGAAGGTCTTGCTCCTGTCAGAACATCTGGTCAAAGTTCACCCTTCTTTCCTTCCTACAAGATTTTCTTGTAGAGTAGGTCTGTAAATCAGGAAATTGATAACAGTGAACAGAACAAAACTAAAAGCCACTCTCTGCTTTTTTTTTTTAATTTAGAAATTTTAATTTTAATGCACATTTTATATACATCTCCATTGATTCTGCATAACGTTTGTGTTGCCTTTTCTGTACCTCGAGACACAACTCACCTCTTCTTTTTTGTTCTTAGAAATTACGGCTTTGCATGGAGAAAGTTGACCAGAAAGCTCCTGAATACATCAAGATGGCAGCATCATTAAAGTAAGCTCTTCCTCTATGTTTTACTGACTCAGTGGTGACTGTTTTCTGTCATTTTAGGTCAGTTCTTTAGTAGCTGAAAGTGTACGCCCTGCCCCTTTCCCCTCGGTGCTCACAACTAGACGCCACAGCCCCTGGCAGCAGATGGCGAAGCGCAGGGAGCCCTGTTTCTTGAGCCCTCTCAGCCCCAGTGTCCCTGACTACCCCGTATATTTGCGCCCCCTGGGTCCCAGTCCTCTTTCCACGCCTTGCCCGAGACCGCTGGCCCTGAAGGAGAGCAGGGAAGGGTCCCAGTCCCTTCTCTGCCTGCGGGTCACCGAGCAGTCACGTGACTCGGGGTCACTCTGCCCTCCTGTGAGTTGGTGCGAAGAGGCGTAAACCTCCCCGGGATGCGGGGGGAGTCGACTCGGAGCATCTGCCGCCTGCTCCTTTCCTAACGAACTCACTGGACTCAGCACGCCCTCCTCCTGCCCCTGCCCGGGGGTTTGAAATCAGAGCAGGCCTGCCTTCTACCTGGACGCCAGCAAGGACAGCTGTGTTCCTGGCATCGTGCTGGCACCCAGCCTGTCCCTCAGGATGTTGTCACCCGAGGGCCCCCTCTCCCAGCGTGCTCTCGGCTTTTTTGCTTTGTGCCTTAGACACAATTGTGGGTCAGTGAGCTCTCCTCTCTCCAGAGGGGAGCTGCCATCGCTGAGACCGTTTCCAGGTGTCTTAACTCTTCCTCCCAAGACCAGTTCTGATGGGCTTCGAGTGAGTGCATTTCAGTCTGTCCCTCATTCTGCAGGGGATGTTTATCAAGCACGCGTTAGGTGCCAGGCACTCTTCTGAGTGCTGGGGCTGCAGCAGCGCATAGCCAAGGCAGCTTCATTATCCTGGGAGCGCAGACTGTAACAAGTGGGCAATAACACACAAGATAACGAAGCCAGGCCTGGTGGGTGCCCCGAGGATAACACGGTGGGTTGATGTGACTGGGACCAGGGCAGCGATTCCAGATTTAGGCCAGCCCTGTTATCTTCCACATGACTTGGCGATATCGAGACAAAGTCCAAGTCCTCTTAGTTCTGGTCTGATGTTCTTTTTGCAAACTGTGCAGTTAGAGATGATGAAGCAACTTTACTGAATCTGTAGATTACAGAACACGCCAGGATTTTCCCAGCCAGGATTACCTGATACAGGGAAAACAGGTGGACCTGGCAGTTCTTTTATTTCACTTTACTTGCTGCTGCCTCAGGAAGGGAGTTTCGTGGCTGTAGCTGAGGCTGGATTAATAGCTGGGAGATCATCTGAAATGTTTCTGTTCTCAGTAAACCTTGTTTAGGCTTGTCCCATGTGCTAGTTACTGGGGGTATAAAAATGAAAACCCATGGTCACTGCATTTGGACTTCAGCAGTCTGGTGGGAGTGTGTGTGCTCTTGGTTGCTAAGTGATGTCTGACTCTTTTCCACCCCATGGACTGTAGCCCACCAGCCTCCTCTGTCCATGGGATTTCCCAGGCAAGAATACTGGAGTGGGTTGCCATTTCCTTTTCCAGGGGATCGTCCCGCCCCAGGGATCAAATCCAGGTCTCCTGCTTGGCAGGCAGATTCTTTACCACTGAGCCCCCAAGGAAGCCGCCTGGTGGGAGTGACAGACTTGGAAATGAAATCCTAAGACCACATGATAACCGTGTTGTTCCTCTGAGACTGAGGTTAAGCCCCCACTGGCCTTTCCTAACGTCCCCTCCTCTGCTCTCTGGGTAGTCTTTGAGGAAAGAAAAGTGCCTTCTCCTCTGGTATAGTGTAAGCAGCTCATGTATAAACCATTTCATCCCTCTTCCTAGATGCACAGAAGTTGTTCAGAGAAAGCGTTAGTAGGCTGAAGCAGGGTCAGTCCTACTTATTTTGACAGTGAGCTTAGGAGCTGGCCCCATAGGCCTTGGCACTAGTTTTCCCACGGCATTGGCACATTAAAAGCGATTTCTAGTTAATTAACACTCACAATTTGAAAAGGAACGAATATTGCATTATATTAAAGTGATAGTGAAAGTCGCTCAGTCGTGTCTGACTGTTTGTGACCGATGGACTATACTGTCCATGGAATTCTCCAGGCTAGAATACTGGAGTGGGTAGCGTTTCCCTTCTCCAGGGCATCTTCCCAACCCAGGGATCTAACCCAGGTCTCCCGCATTGCAGGCGGATTCTTTACCAGCTGAGCCACAAAGTGGGGGAGTCCAAAATGCCATTTGAAGAGAATTAACTGTTCCCCTCTCTGTGAGGCCTTAAACCTGTAGAGCCTTTTACACCACCGTCTCCGTTCAGTGCAGTGAAATTTAGATCAAACATCTGCCTTATTTCTCCCTAGTGCCGGAGAGACAACCTACAGTCTGGAACACGCTAGTGACCTTCGAGTGGAAGTGCAGAAAGTGTATGAGCTAATAGATGCGTTAAGGTAAGGTCTGTTAGGTGATGTTCGTACCTGTTGCCTTAAGTGGAGGATGTGCTGGGTTTATGGGGTGGTGGGCGGCCAGCAGACCTAGCTTACCTGGTCCTGCTGATCGGGGGTGTGTGTGAGGAGGAGGCTGAGGGGGCTGCCAGCTCCGGCCCTCAGTGCGTCTCAGTAACTGTTGCCTAAGGATTTTTACTGTTCATGATTGTTACAGGGACAGGAGCTGATTGGTATCAGCTGTGTGTCGGCTGTTTCCACACAGAGTGGCTCCTGTATTCTACCACAGTTACCCTGTGACATAGAGGTTAGCACCCCCATTGTATAGGTACAAGAATGCACCACAGCTAGCCAAAGTGCTGGAACCAGAATGGAAGTCCAGGTTCTTTCTTCAATTTGACCACTGCTTTTTTTTTTTTTGGCTGTACTGTGTGATTTGTGGGATTTTAGTTCCCCAACCAGGGACCAAAACCAGGCTTACGGCAGTGAAAGTGGCCGAGTCTTTAACCACTGGACCACCAGGGAATTCCCAGCTACTGCTTTTTAACTGTGGATTGGCTCTTGGGGTTAGATCAGCCCTTTGCAGTGTAGGAAGTACTGTGACACAGAGAACAGAGATACGGAACCCTTGTCCATCTGTACATGAAAGACTAGCTACATAGGTTGCAGGGTTAGATGCAAAATGAAAATGTAGGTCCCCTGATCAAAGTTAAGAATTGTAAGGGACTTCCCTGGTGGTCCAGTGGTTAGGAACCTGCCTTCTGAAATGGGTTCAGTCCCTGATCGGGGAACTGGGATTCCACAGACCGCAGGGCAGCTAAGCCCGTGTGCTGCAACTACTGAACCCTCGCCCCACAACTGGAGAGATGTCTGTGTGCCGCACCCGAGAGCCCGCAGCAGGAACTGGGGCCTGATGCAGCCAAATGCATAAATAGATGTGAAAAAGGAGAGGTGTGAGACAGGGAGCAGAATGTTAGACTAAGCACAGGGCTGCTCTGCGGCAGCGGTCCTGGGCCCGCGGTGGCCGGGTGTTTGTCGTTCGTCCCCGTGCTTGTTTGGGGCCTTGGGTGCAGCCATCGGGTAAGAAGTGGGCTTCACCCGCAAGGGCATTTCAGGGGAGCCTTGAGCCCATTTCTCCTCACAGCTTGCCGGCATGCAAGCCTGGCGACTCGGGATTCTCCACCCGTGTTTCCGAGGCTGGCCGTGCCTCTTCCAGCGACGTGTCTGTTCTCATGCAGTAAGAAGATCTTAACCTTAGACCTGAAGCAGGACCCACCACCACACCCGAACTCCCTGCGGCTGCAGAGGATGATCAGATACTCGGCCACGCTGTTTGTGCAGGTACAGCCGCCGCCGGAGGGCGGGCGGGCCCACGGCCTGCTCGTTTTCTGCTCGTACACTTCTCTTCAGGCTTACAGGGGTGTCAGCCACATCTGGGAAAAATCCCTGCTCTGAGTGTGCACCGCCCTTTGTGTAACTGTTCCCCTGTCCCTGGGCATTTCTTAGGCTCCCACTTCTCTGCTCTTGTGAGGAGTGCCTGGTGGACCTGTTTGCACGGAGCATTTCCTCCTTTGGATAAGCTCCTGGGGGACTCTTCCTGGGCTATTGGTCTGGAGGATACAGTGATTGTTCAAGGACTCACTCCACCTGGGAGACTGCATCTGAGTTGTCTCGACCTCAGAAAGCCCTCGTGAGAGTCACAGTCAGTCCCCTGTGGGGCCCTGACGGAGATCTGCGTGTCCTGTTGGGTTAGTTATCTGACACCATAATGCAGAGTGAGGCCCTTCCTGCTTTTGATGGATGACTGTATTCCATAGTCGTTGGTGGGTGCCCGCTGCAGCCCAGGCGGTGTTTTAGGTGCTGGGTGTCCTGATAGACCTTCCCGTTCTCATAAAGCTTGTATTATAGAGGGGATAGATGAGAAAGAACAGAATATATGGCTTAAGAGGGTGGAAAGTGCTGCAGAGAACTGAAAGGAGGGCGTGGGGGTGGGGCTCAGATGGCGGCTTACGGATGTGTTAATAGACAGGGAGGGCAGGAAAAGGCCTCACTGAGACAGCAAGGAACCAAGATGTCTGGTGCTGATCATCTCCTAATGAAAAGGCTGGCCCTTCCAGAAGGAAGCTGGCACGGACCCGATTTCAGGGTTAGGTCCTTCCCTGCTCTGCTCATTAGGGTGGCTGTCCGAGACCAACATGACGTAGCTTCAGTGGGCTCTCATTAGGGAGCTTCAGATTCTTTTTTTTTTTTTTCTCCCGAGGAAAGGGTTTAAGTGTAAAATTGTCCATGACTCCCTACAGGAAAAGTTGCTTGGTTTGATGTCACTGCCGACCAAAGAACAGTTTGAGGAACTGAAAAAGAAAAGGAAGCAGGAGATAGAGCGGAAGAGGATCCTGGAGAGGCAGGTGAGTGAAACTCAGGGACGCTGGCATCTGGCTTCTTCCGAGCGGCTCCCATGAGCACACAGGCCTCCACAGGCTCCCAGGAGGTCCCGTGAGGTTGTCGTTAAGTCACAACCTCTTACTCGCTCTGGTTTGTGTTTTCCTTCTGTTCTGGCCTCTCGCATTTTAGAAATCAAATAATTATTTTCCTACCCCAGGTCTTTTTCTTTCAGAGGCTCTACTGATTTTCTCCTGTCTAGAATACCATGGAGACGGGCAGTCCTACCCCCAGTACAGGCTGCAGACGACCCAGACACCAGGGAGTTCTTAGAATGCTTGGAATATGCAGTAGTAAACAGAATAATATGTGTATTTAAGATTGTGTGAGATTCCAGTGTAGATGAGTGGTAATAGACCTCAGAGGTTTAAGATAAGTGCTTAGCCAGTGAATGTGAGATGGAGAGAAGCTTACGCCTTAACTTACTGTTGTTTGTTATTTTAATTTTGAAAAAGCATGGTTTGAGTTTAGCAGCGGGATATTGTAGCCCTGAGGTGGGGAATTGGGGTCTCACTGGAATGGGGATGGTGTGACCGCAGTGGTGGCCGGCAGTGTGGCTGTTGGCTTGGTGACTGTGTTTCTTTTTGGCTTTGGTGTCTTCCCAGGCTGCCTTGGAATCCCAGCGGAGGCTTGAGGAGAGGCGGAGTGACTTGGCATCGCGTGCAACCAACGGGGAGGTGGTGCCCCCTCGGAGGGGTCCTGCCCCACTGAGAAAGGCCGAGGGCTGGCTCCCACTGTCAGAAGGCCAGAGGCAGAGCGAGGACCCGGACCCCCTCCTGCAGCAGATCCACAACATCACGTCCTTTATCCGGCAGGCCAAGGCCGCGGGCCGGACGGACGAAGTGCGCATGCTGCAGGAGAACCTGCGCCAGCTGCAGGACGAGTACGACCAGCAGCAGACGGAGAAGGCCATCGAGCTGTCCCGTAGGCAGGCCGAGGAGGAGGACCTGCAGCGGGAGCAGCTGCAGGTGCTGCGGGAGCGCGAGCGGGAGCGTGAGCAGGGCCAGGCCGCCTCTCTGCACACGCGGACTCGGTCCCTGGACTTCCGGGAAATCAGGCCTTTTCAGCTGGAGCCGGGCAGAGAGCCACGCACCCACCTCGCTCACGCTTTGGATCTGGGCTCTTCCCCAGCTCAGAGCAGCACTGCCACCAAGACCTCTCCACCCAGCTTGGCTCCCGAGCCCTTCCGAGGGTGGTCTGGGCCCCCAGCCCTGGGCCAGGAGTTCCTGCCCCAGAGCACCCCGTCACAGCGCAGTGAGGCACCCTCCCTGAATCCCTTCGATGAGGAAGAAGACCTCGCCAGCCCCTCAGCCGAGGGCACAGCCAGCCCTCCTGCTCCAGAGCCTTCCCTTGGCCCACCGGCCCGCCTGTTCCGAGAGTACAACCCTTTCGAGGAAGAGGAGGCCGGGGCCGGGAATCCCTTCGCTAGGCCAGACAGCCCCGCCCCCAACCCCTTCGACGAGGAAGATGAGCCCCCCCCTCGGACACCTGCATCCCCCCCTGTTCCTGGCAACCCCTTTGAGGAGGCCCCCTGCACCAACCCCTTCGAGGAGGACAGTGATGGCGGGCAGGAGGGCGCCGAGCCCATCGAGGAGGAGCTGCTGCTCCAGCAGATCGACAACATCAAGGCGTACATCTTTGACGCCAAGCAGTGTGGCCGCCTGGACGAGGTGGAGGTGCTGACGGAGAACCTGAGGGAGCTGAAGCGCACCCTGGCCAAGCAGAAGGGGGGCAGCGACTGACCAGGCCGGGCAGGGGCCCACAGAGCAGGCGGGAGGGCCGGGGGGCATGGAGGAGGAAGGCGGCGTCTAAGGTACCTGCAGGTTATGGGGGAGGAATCTGCTGTTTGGTGCTGTGCGCTTGGAGCTTTTCCCGTGACAGGTGGATAATAAAATGGGAACAAGAACAGGAAGGATCAGCATGCATTGCTGTTTTTCCTGAATTTTTTTCATAATTGGGTTTTCCCCGTAGAAGGGACGTGAAACCTTCACTGCCGAGGTGTCACGAGTGCAGTTCTATTGGGCCCTGGGCAGAAACGGCTCCCGTGTGCAGCTCGTGCCTGCACTCGCTCCTGCCTAGCGTCGGTCCGTTTGCAGCCTTTTATAGGGCCCTTCCTTTAGCCAAGACACAGCAGACAGCCCTTTACATCTGTCTGGGTTCTGGCGGAAGTCCGTCCCATCAGACTATGTTCCTTTCGCCTGGCACTTCCACTGCCTTCCTGGGCACGTCCTGTGCGATGGCAGGGGAAGGTCTCACTGTGGAGGCAATAGTTTAGACCCAGGAAAGCCCCTCTTAAGAGGGGTGATGGGGGTGAGGTTTCATCAGGGTCTCTCGCCCTCTTCCTTTCAGTTCTTATTTCTCTCTTTCAGGAAGTTAATCTCCCAGTGCAGGGTTATCACTGTGAGTCTGTTCATGAGCTTTTTAAAGAACAGCAGTTTTTAACTTTTTGGCTGATAGAAGTCGTATACTTTGGGAGCAGAGTCTCTGTCCAGGTGTTGCTCTGTGGAACTGAATGACGGCTGGGACAATAGTCTGTCCCCAGAGAAAGTGTCCTCTAGAGCTTTGGCACAATTACTCTGATCTGGGCTTGATTTTCAAAGGGCCCAGGCTATAATTTAGGAGTTGGTGGTCAGGAAGCCCTCGTGGAACCTCGTCAGAAGAGCTGACGTCCCCTGAGTCAGAAGGTCAATGACAGGACCTTCTAAGGCTCGTCGATGAGCCTTTTTGTCTTGCGGGTCATCTTGTGCTGACCGTGGGCGCTGGTGAGATACTCTCTCACCTACGTTTAGTAGTATTAAGAAATTAAATGGGGAATTCCTTGGTGGTCCAGTGGTTAGGACTCCGAGCTTTCATTGCCGAGGGCATGGGTTTAATTCCTGGTCAGGGAATTAAGATCCTGCAAGGGGTGTGGTGTGGCCAAAAAAAAAAAAGTAAAATGTTCGCAGGAGGCACAACCCAGGATCATTCTGGTAGAACTGCAGTACTTGAACTCTTCACCAGTTAAGGGCAAAAAGGGAAATTGTGAATTTTGCTTTGGTGCTTAGGTTTACAGAGACATGACCCTTAACTGACATCTGACATCAGATACCCAAGTGTGCTCAGCTCTGGGTAGAGTTGCTGCAGTTACGCTTGTTAACTAATGAACAATAACTGACCACTAGTCACTTTATACCCATAACTAACTCTGGCTCTTATGGTCACTGGTTACTGGTGTAAGAGCTGAAATTTATTTTGTCTCATTCTGTCTCATTCCCTGTTGATCTTGGGAATGTCTGAAAAAACACTGTGGTGTAATAGTAATCTCTGTTTGTGTTGACACTATTCACATTTCTTTAGCCCCTGCTGGCTCTTTGGGCTGAATGAAGAGGTCCTGTATGGGAGCATGGCAGTGGGGAGTGGGTGTGCGCAGTGTGTATGCAGGACCTCTTGAGTTTGGGTCCTATTCACAGAGGAGTGCGAGTGGGTTACTAAGGTCAGCCAGTTACCAGCCTTGCTGATTGTCATGGTTTTGGGAAGCTGGCAGTCAGGCATCTCAAATGCTGCCTGGTACAGATGTCCTTACCCCTCAAGATCAGTGCCCTTCATGCTGTTACTCTCGAGGGACTTGGGGATGACTGCATGCTCCTAGCTGATCAGTCTGTCCTTTCTCTCTGACTGAGAAGGAAGCTCTCTGCACCAAAAAGCAGGTAGTTCCCGGAGCCAAGTGCTGCTTGCCCTCATAGTTATTTTTCTAATGAGAATATATCTCTTTTAGTTAGCTGGTGGTTTCAGTTAAAACTAGTTTACCAAACATACCCTTTCCCTGAAATCAGCTGCAGGTAGCAATCTGTTAGTAACTTAAGAGCACTGAGAACCAGACCTATAAAAAACATATTTTTAAATTTAAATAAGAATCACTGAATATACTAAACCCAAACTAAAACCCTCTGATGTGATTGAATTCCTCCATGGCTGCATTCTCCTGAAATCACAGGCATGACTGGAGTCAGAATTCTCTATCCCTCCATTGTACCATTTCCCGGAATTCATAGACCCCAAGATGGGCACAGTGTTGGACTTACAGGGATGGGGGAGCATCATGGAAAAGGTGGCCTATGAATTGCAACCACAGCTTCAAGTTTTTCCCTCATGTCAGTGTTTCACCCATCCTACATCCCATCAGCACGGACAGCTCCACCCATCTCATCAGAAAATGAGCAAGTCCTTGATCCGTCGTTGGCAGATGTCCATAGACACAGACCATGTGTGGAAGAGACTCTGGGGATTCGGGCATCAAATGAAGCTGACTTTCCCCTTTTATGCCTTGATTGTATTTTCCCTTGTCTAATACACTAAGGACACTTACTCATTGTACTCGCTGCTCGATGTGTCTCTTTTGTCCAGATACTAAAACGTACCTGAGTCACCAGGAGCCATGTGGTAGGCTGGACGTTGGCATAGATAGGTGATGGGACTCAAGGTGAGAGGCTGGTCTCTAATAGGTCACAGGCTTCGGTAGTAGATTGTGCTGGTCACCTGACAATGACAGTTGGAGGGTCATTGATTTGCATGTGCTACTCTGGGGCCTTGTATTGGAACCTTTTTAAAAAATAAAATAACAAGATATTCATGGTTGGGTGTGTGTTTGTGTGTTTGTGCACACCAAGAATTACCAGATAACATCTGGTCATTTTCTTAATGACTTCTGAGTACAAGGCAACAGCTCCAGCTCCTGTGTTCCTGTGTGGTTATGGCCTCCAGACAAAACCAGGAGTCTTCCCAGGGGGTAAATACGGGTTCTAGTTCTGCCCTTATGTTCAGTGATTCCTGCAGTGTTGATTAAATGAACTGTCTTACACAGGTGTCGTGCCCAAAGGTAGCAGAAGTGGGCAACGGGAAAAGAGAGGAAGCTGCTACGTGGGCCTTTGATGCTGCCATCACTTGGACCTTTGAGACCTCCCAGGACTAAACCAGGAGGAGGTGATGTTTAGGAGCGTGTGGGGTGTCCTTTAGGCTGCCACTCCCATGCTAGTCCACACTCAGCCTCCAGCAGTTCATCTAGTGTTCCAGCTCTGGCTCCAGTGGCTTCTGCTGCAGGTAAGCAGATCTTGGCTGTCACTCTGCATTCACCTCTCCAGATTTCTAGGTGGTAGTGGGCCCTGCCGACTCCGTTCTCTGGGGTCCGAAGAGTCGCTGGCTTTCAGTTTGCCCAGCTTTCTCATGTAAGGACAGGCGTGACAACTACCAAACTCTTCATGTTTCTGAGCTGAAGCTGGAAGTCCTGAAGTCTTTTTGAAAACCATGCTAGGCTACTGAAGAGTTTTAGGCAGAAGAGCTTTTGACCTTAAAGTTCAGAAGAGGTGCTTCCTATGGATGAAATGTCCTCCCTAATGTTAGAAACTTGAGTGTACACGAAGCAGGCCAGGGCAGCTTGGGTTTTGGAGTCACGCAGACCTAGGCTGGAATCCCAGGGGTGTAACCCTTAGCGTGCTTAACCTCACCACACACTCTTTGATCTGTAAACTGGAGTTCTTTGGAGGATTAAATGAGGTACCCATACCCAATACTTGACATTCTCTCTGACCTACAGCAAGCACTAAGTATTACCTGTTTGTTTTGTTTAAAAATTTTCTATTTAGCTGTGCTGGGTCTTAGGTGCAGCACATGGGATCCTTGATCTTCTTTGCAGCATGTCAGATCTTTAGTTGCAGCATGTGGGATCTAGTTCCTGACTGGGGATTGAACCCAGGCCCCCTGCATTGGGAATGTGGGGTCCTAGGCACTGGACCACCAGGAAAGTACCCTACAAGGGTTTTAGGAGCTCTGGCCAGGAGCTGGGAACAAAGACCAAATGTATTTCTTTTTTATCACAGAGGTGGATTAAGAAACACTTTTAAAGGTCACTGCCCAAGGACACTAACCCATTAAAATACTGAGATTTCACCATAAAATTGTAGAATGCTTCCCTTCCCCGACACTTTACCCCCACACCAACAGAACGCCAGTATAAGAGCAGACTAGCTGAATGAGGTGCAAAACGCACACTCCAGGGAAGCCTGAAGTCACAAGAGACAGAAGCTCAGACACTAGAGGAGCTGAAGCCTCTGGGCACCTTCAGCTATAGCAGACATTAAACAGCTCAAGTCCCAGTCAGGAGAACATAACCCTTTGTAACAGAGGCTTATTTACCTCAGTTCCTATTACCTAATACAGCCAATAATGTCTGACTTTCAACAAAAATTTTAAGTGTGCTAAAAACAGGTAAGAAAAAAAATCCCACTCTGACAAGTATATATCACAACCAGATTCAGATATTAGACAGATGTTGGAGTTACCAGATAGGAAAGTTAAGTGATTAATATGGTAAAGAGTCTAGTGGTAAAAGTAAATAATATGCAAGACGAGATGAGTAATGGAAACAGAGATAAGGAAACTCTAAGATTGAAAGGAAATGCTAGAAATAAAAAACACTAACAAAGAATGCTTCTGATGGGCACATCAGTTGATTGGACACAGCCAAGGAAAGAATCAGTGAGTCTGGAGGTTGGTCATAGAGACTTCCTTTGTTGTTGTTCAGTTGCTAAGTCGTGTCTGACTCCGCGACCCCATGGACCGCAGCGTGCCATGCTTCTCTGTCGTTCACTATCTCTTGGAGCTTGCTCCAACTCATGTCCACTGAGACGGTGATGCCATCCAACTGTCTCATCCTCTGTCTCCCCCTTCTCCTGTCCTCAGTCTCTCCCAGCATCAGGGTCTTTTCCAGTGAGTCAGCTCTCTGCATCATGTGGCCAAAGTATTGGAGCTTTAGCTTAAGCATCCAGTCCTTCCAATGAAGCGTCAGGGTTGATTTCTACTGGAGAAAGGATAGGCTACCCACTCCAGTATTCTTGGGCTTCCCTTGTGGTTCAGCTGGTAAAGAATCCTCCTGCAATGCAGGAGTCCTGGGTTCGATCTCTGGTTGGGAAGATCTGGAGAAGGGAAAGGGTACCCACTCCAGTAATCTGGCCTGGAGAATTCCATGGACTGTATATTTCACTTTTCCTTTAGGATTAACTGGTTGGATCTCCTTGCAGTCCAAGGGACTCTCAAGAGTCTTCTCCAGCACCACAGTTCAAAAGCATCAATTCTTTGGTGCTATGCCTTCTTATGGTACAACTCTCACATTCCATACATGACAACTGGAAAAACCATAGCTTTGACTATATGGACCTTTGTCAGCAAAGTGATGTCTCTGCTTTTTAAAACACTGTATTAGTTTTTCATAGCTTTTCTTCCAAGGAGCAAGTGTCTTTATATTTCATGACTGCAATCATCATCCTCAGTGATTTTGGAGCCCAGGAAAATAAAATCTGTCACTGTTTCCACTTTTTCCCCATCTATTTACCACAGAATGATGGGACCAGATGCCATGATCTTAGTTTTTGAATGTTGAGTTTTAAGCCAGCTTTTTCACTCTCCTCTTTCATCCTCATCAGGAGGCTTTTTAGTTCCTCTTCACTTTCTACCGTTAAAATGGTATCATCTGCATATCTGAGATTGTTGGTATATCTCCCGGCAATCTTGACTTGTGATTCATACTCTGCATATAAGTTAAACAAGCAAGTTGACTGTATATAGCCTTAACATACTCCTTTCCCAGTTTTGAACCAGTCCGTTATTTTTCCATGTCTAGTTCTAACTGCCGTTTTTTATCCTGCATACAGATTTCTCAGGAGACAGGTAAGGTGGTCTGGTACTCCCATCTCTTAAGAATTTTCTAATGTTTGTTATGATCTACACAGTCAAAGGCTTTAACATAGTCAATGAAGCAGAAGTAGAATTTTTTTGGAATTTCCTTGCTTTTTCTATGATCCAGGGGATGTTGGCAATTTGATGTCTGGTTCCTTGGCCCTTTCTAAATCTAGCTTGTACATCTGGAACTTAACAGTTCACATACTATTGAAGTCTAGCTTGAAGGATTTTGAGCATTACCTTGCTAGTATGTTAAATGAGCACACTTGTATGGTAGTTTGAGCATTCTTTGGCATTGCCTTTCTTTGGGATTGAAATGAAAACTGACCTTTTCCAGTCCTGTGGCCACTGCTATGTTTTCCAAATTTACTGGCAGATTTCCCTACTGAACTTCCCTACTGAAATGCAAATGGGAAAAAGGATGGAAAACAACAACAACAACAAAAAACTCACAGAACATCCAAGAATGATGGGACAATTTCAGAAGAGGTAAAACATACAGAATCAGAATACCAGAAGGAGAAAAAAAAATGAGAGAATAAAAATATTTTAAGTAATAATGGCCAAGAATTTTCCAAAATGAATAGCAGTCACCAAACTGCAGGTCCAGGAAAGCTCCAAGAACATCAAGCAGGATAAATACCAAAAATATACACCTAGGTATATCTTTTTTTTTACCTAGAAATTTTATTCTGGTGCACTTCACTGGATTGACAAGTACCTTAGAGATTTAATTTTGCTAGAAATACATACTGTGTGCAGGTTATATGTATATATGTGTATGTATGTGTCTACACACACACACACACACACACACACACACACACACACACACACGCCATATACCTAAATTTGAATTCTACTTGTGTGGGTGATGACAAAGGTGATGATTGTCATAACCTATACTCCTGCTGCTGCTGCTGCTGCTGCTGCTGCTAAGTCACGTCAGTCGTGTCCGACTCTGTGTGACCCCATCCCTGGGATTCTCCAGGCAAGAACACTGGAGTGGGTTGCCATTTCCTTCTCCAATGCATAAAAGTGAAAGTGAATTCGCTCAGTCATGTCTGACTCTTCGCCCCCATGGACTGCAGCCTACCAGGCTCCTCCTCCCATGGGATTTTCCAGGCAAGAGTACTGGAGTGGGGTGCCATTGCCTTCTCCGAACCTATACTCCTAGTTGTATCTTACTCAAACTCTATAAATGAAAGACATAAAGAAACTTTTGAAAGAAACCAGAAGAAAAAACTCTTAACCTATAGTGGAAGAATGCTGCCTACTATTCAGAAACCATGCAGGAGAGTGGAGTGAAACATTTAAAGTGTTGAAAGTTGCCCCCCACTCCCAACCTATATTTCTGTATGTGGCAAAACTGTCCTTCAAAAGTAAAGAACAATTGACATATTCGGATCAATAAGAGTACTTCAGAAAGAGTACTTCTCAGCCATCTTTTGCTTTTAAGAAATAGAGATCCAGAGCTCTCAAGTGATGGAACTAGGAAGGGGATAGATACTCAATTCCTTTTTTCCCCCCTTTTGCAAATCAGTTTTTTTTTTAAAGTCCGTGTTAGACATTGCGCAGTTCTAACCCTTCACCGTAAAGCTGTAGAAGTTGAGCGAGGAAAACTGACACGCTTGAGGTTGAAAAGAAAGTTATTGGGCGCCTTGGTATTGAAACTCAGCTCTCCCGAATTACTTCCTCTTGTTAAGTTTGTTGTCCGAATGACCGAGTTTGAGTCTATATAAAATGTTTTCCCTTGGCGGAGGGGAGAAGGACCGAGTCACAGAGCATGAAAACCTCAATGTTCCACGAGTTTCAAGGCTGTAGGCAGAGGCGCGGTCTCCCCGCACACGCCACCGCCACCTGAGGAGAGCTCCGCCAGCCAGGACTACAAGTCCCAAGCTGCTCCGCGGCGCGCGTGCTGCCCGCCGGGAGCGACCCTCCGTCTCCCGTGAGTCTGCGCGGGAAGTGGAAGCCGGCGCTGAAGCGAGGCTGCCAGCGGGGACCCGGGGAGCTGTCGGCCGCGCTCGCTTCTCCGCGCTGCTGCACTCGTGCCCGGCCGGCCGCCCCCCCCTCCACCTCCGCTGCAGCCATGCCCATGAAGGGCCGCTTCCCGATCCGCCGCACCCTGCAGTACCTCAGTCAGGGGGACGTGGTGTTCAAGGACTCGGTGAAGGTTATGACGGTGAACTACAACACGCACGGGGAGCTGGGCGAAGGCGCCAGGTCAGTCCGAGCCGCAGGCTCCCGCCAGTCGCCTGCTAGCCCGCTGGAGACCTGGCGCTACTGTCCCCGCCCCACTGCGCGGACGGGCAGCTGCCCCAGGTCCCACAGCAGAAGGGGACCCTGGGCCGGGCTGGGTGAGGGGCGGAGTGGATGGAGCCCAGCCCGGGCGGCCACCGAGCGCCTGGCGCCCCGGCTCTCCTTGCACTCGCCGGCTCCGGGCGAGCTGCTTTTCCTCAGTGTCCCGACTGAGGGGACACCTGTGTCCCAGGGCTGAGGTGGCGGTGCGCTGGGAGAGGTTACCGCCGCTGGCCTTGGTGGAGCTGGAGCCCTCAGGCGTGCAGCGGGGTGTCTGAATGCTCCGCGTGCTGTCTAAGCCCGTTTGCTGTTTGCCCCAGTGTTTCTCTCGGCCCAGGGATGAGGGAGCGCGGGACGGTAAGGGACCGGCTCGGCCAGGCACACCCTCCTGAAGGCTGGTGAGGGGCAGCTCTGAAAGTGCTTCGTCCTCCAAGGACTCATCACCGTTTTTTCTTTTCTTAAGAAATAATTTTGGGCTGTGCTGGTCTTCAGTTGCCGCGGGGAGAGGGGGTTGGTGTGTGGGTGTGTGTGGGAGGGGGGCGGGGGGGGGCTTTCTTTTGTTGCCCAAGCAGGAGCTACTCATTGCGCTGGATGTGGACCATGGGCAGTGGGCGCCCGGGCTTAGATGCGCTGCAGTATGTGGGATCTTAGTTCCCGGCCAGGGATGGCGCCTGCGCCCCTTGCTCCACCACTGGACCACCAGGAATGTCCCGACTCATCACCCTTATAAATGAAGGGACTGTCCATGTCAGCCTTGCAGCTGCTCGTTACCCACTTCGCCCCTGCACCCCCAACTCCTTGATGCTCTTTAGCCCACAGCAGAGTCGGGATTCATTGGAAGGGAAGCTTGCAAATGAAAGGTTTGAACTGGACCTTGAGGCAGTGGCAGTGCCCTGGGCTTCTCAGGTGTTAGATATAAATTTACCGAGTGCCTGCTCATTCTGGGCCCTGTGATGTGTGCTGGGAATGTAATTCCTGTTTTTCAGAAACTTTGGGCCTGGGTGTGTGGGATGGATCAGTGAGACTGGAGAGCAGCTCCCTGTGGAGGGTGGTACCCCCCCTACCCCCCGCCCCCGCTCTGGGGGGTTCTTCAGTGCAGGGCTGTTCAGGAAAGCCAGAAGCTACCCCCAGGTGTGTTTGCTTTCAACAGGTGAACCTTGGAACTTGGACCTACTTGTGTGGGGTCAGCTGGGATGAGGGCTTCCTGGAAAACTCAGTCATAGGACTGAATGGGCTCCAGATCCTCCTTCATAAACGAATTGGAATCCTTCCATCCACACCAGGAGTCCGGGGCAGAGGCCAGAAGGTACAGCCAAGGAGGGACACAGTGCGGACCAACCTGCAGTAAAGTGAAGTAGTGCCCTGTCTCAGTGGCTCATTCACTGCTTGGCCACATGTTAGCGAGGTGGGCTCCATGGAGAATCTGTGACTTGTCAAGAAGCCTGAAATTCAGCTTTTTTCTAAGTCTCTGATGTTTGAAATGGTCAGCTGGGGACTTCTGGGACTTCTTTAGTGGTCCAGTGGCTAAAACTCAGTACTCCCGATGAAGGGGGCCCAAAGTTCGATCCTTGGTCAGGGAACTAGATCCTGCTTGCTGCAACTAAGACCCAGGGCAGCCAAATAAATAAATATGTATATATATATTTTAAATATGTATATTAAAAAAGAAAAACCAGTCAGAATAGGCCTGCACATACTTGCATGCTCAAATATTTTAATACTCTTTAGGTAAACAGGAGCCAAACAGCCTGTGTTCCTAGTGTTAGAGGCTTGCCTTGTCTCACTGGTGTTGAGATTTTAGCCTGGCAGACTTGCTCTTTGTAGCCCCACTGGCCTTCGACTTCAGCACTTCAGCTGTCCCTTCGTTTCAAGTGCCAGTGGCCGGCACAGCCCCAGGCTAGTGAGTCGCAGGGTGTGCGCTGGGTGTGCGCAGGGTGTGCGGGGAGCTGCCTTATTCAGTGTCTGAGAGCCTCATCTCTGCCAGGTGTTCTTGCCTTTACGATCCAACAGTAGTAACAGCTGCTGGCATTTATCGGGTTCTGTGTTCAGCCCTGTGCTGCAGGCTCCAGGTGAGTTTGATAATGACTGGAGCCCAGTGCTCACGGCCCTGAGTCTGTGGCTTTCTGGTCATGTGACCAATTACTTTTTGGACTTTTTCTTTAAACATTTGTTTATTTGGCTGCACTGGGTCTTAGTGGCAGCATGCAGGATCGTTGATCTTTTTTGCGGCATGCGGGATATTTAGTTGGGGCATATGAACTTCCCTGGTGGTCCAGTGGCTAAGACTCGGTGCTCCCAATGCAGGGTTCCTGGGTCCGATCCCTGACATGTTTTCTTAATGTAAAAACCCCACCCTCTGGGGTTGCTGCCGGCGTTTGAGTATAAGTGCCCAGCAAGGTGTCTGGGACAACAGGTGGAAACCGAAGTTTAGCTTTTGTTATTAACCTTCCCCCCAGGCTCCAGCAGAAACCATTACATAGCCCTGTTGAATGTTCCAGTAGTACTAGGTTTGAGAAGCTCCTACACAGATGTGCCCTGATTTATTTGTAAACAGTTTTGCTGCACGGCAATCCTCTGCTGTGAGGTGGGAATTGAGGAGAGGGGTCCTGAATCTGGGAAAGTCCAGTCCTGTGAGCTGTGATGGTCTCCATGGCTCATTATGGTAGTTAGTACTTGGCTTCCACTTCTTCCCAGAGGCAACTGCTTTTCAACTCTAACCATTTGATTAGCGAAGTGTTTTACCTTCATATAAATACCATAGTTAGCTCCTTATTTTCTTAGCTTTAGGCTTTATCAATTGACTTGCTACTTTAGAAGGCAAGGATTTAGCTCTCCCAGCAGCACTGCCATTCCCCACCCCAACACATGCATGTCGAGTGTGAGTTAGAAAAGAATTTCTAGACACGGTATTTCAGAAAGGAGTTTATTAAGAACAAAGAGCAGAGATAAATGAGGGCGCTGCAGGCTCAGAGGGCTGACCCCTGACCCACCAGGGAGAGCCGATGCAGGGCTAGTAGCCGATTGTTATAGTCTCAAGACAAAGAGAATTCCTGCTGGAAGGTTGACATTAGGTGATTGGTTAGGGTGGGTATTTGTACCTAACGTGGGATGAGGGAGCTGGCCGGTTTAGATGGGTTGGGTGCTCATGGCAGTGGTTGCAATGGGCTCAGTCAGTTCTGGAGATGACCAGGGTCGCATCTGTGGCCTTGGTATGGGACTCCACCATCCTCCCAACATAGTCATTTAAGAATTTTGAATAGATCGGTATTCACTGTTAAGTTACTATGACTGTAAACACTATACACAATTGAGTCAGACAGAGTGCTGTGATTATTTTTCTTTTTGCACTTTGTTTCCCTAGCATTATTAATTGTCATTGCTTTTGTTTTAACTTGGGATTCTGCCCCAGTTTTGGACGTCTGCCTAAAGATGCTCCTATCCTTTTCTTGAGAACAGACCACTGCTTGTCCTGCCTTGCCAGTGTGTTGACATAAACACTGAGGCACGGAGCAGTGACTTGCCCTGGGTCTGACGGCTGGGACGTGGTAAAGCCAGGCGGCACTCTTCTACCAGGTACCACTCACTCTGGTCGGTGGTCTGCTGTGGGGGCAGGGCGGCAACAGGAAGCAGAGGGTGCTTTGAAATTCGGGTCATTTGGGGAGCCTTTAATCAAGGGATGATTTGCAAAGGTGTGGCAAGGATGGGAAAAGAAACCACAAGGGAGATACGGACCAGGGTTCTTGGCTTTCCCCAAGCAATAGAAGTTGACTAGAGTCCTGACAAGAGATTCAGGCACGGCTTTACTGGGGCTTTTGTTCCGGCTGCAGGATGGAGCGAAATCAAGTAACAGGTTCCCTTGAGCTGTTTCCTTCTGTGAGGTGACGGGTGGTGGTGTGTCCAGGGAGAACTGCAACAGTAGCTATTTAGGGACTAGAAAAGGGGAGGAACCAGGTTACCTTTGGCTTAACCGTTGACGAGAGCAGGGGTTACGTTGCTCCTGCTAAGGAGCCGTTCTGCTCACATGTGTATTTGTGTCAATCCCAGGGATGAAGTCTCCACCATGTTTTCCTGGGTTTATTTTTACTGTATTTTATTGGAGTATAGTTGCTTCACAGTATGATGATAGTTTCTGTGGTACAGCATCTTGAATCAGTCAGTCGTATATATTCATGTATCCCCTCCCTCTGAAGCCTCCCACCCCACCCCACATTCCACCCTTCTAGGTCATCCCAGAACTTAGAGCTGAGCTCCCCGCTAGTCCCCGCTAGTCATCTGTTTTACCCACGGTAGTGTAAATGTCACTGCTAGTCTGTCAGTTTGTCCCCCATCTCCTTCTCAGCATGTGTCCACAAGTCCGTTCTCTACGTCTGAGCCTATATTCTGGTCCTGCAGTAGGTACATCAGTACCATTTTTCCAGATTCCAAATATATACATTAATATATGCTATCTCTAACTTCACTCTGTGGAACAGGCTCTGGGTTAAACATTATTTCATTTGACTCAAATTTGTTACTTTTTATGGCTGAGTACTGTTACATTGTATAAATGTACCACTTGTCTTTATCCATTCATCCCTCCATGGACATCCAGGTTGTTTCCATGTCCTAGCTGTGGTAAATAGTGCTGCAATGAACATGGGGGTGTATGTGTCTTTTTAAAAAAAAATTATTTTATATTTTTGGCCACAATGAGTCTTTGTTGCTGTGTGCGGGCTTCATCTAGTTGGCAGTGAGTGGGGCTAGTGTTTGTTGCGGTGCATGGACTTGTCATTTCGGTGGCTTCTCCTGTTGTGGAGCAGAGGCTCCAGGCACACAGGTTTCAACAGTTGCGGTATGTAGCCTCAGCCGTTGTGGCTCACCAGCTCGAGAGCAGGGGCTGAGTAGTAGTGGCTCATGGGCCTCGTTGCTCCAAATCATGTGGACTT